CATTTTGTGTGTCAGAGCTACAAACAGGAAAACAGCCGCCCTGTCCCTGTGGCCTTCAGTCCCCCACCCCAGAACACCTTCGGACATTGCCCATGATAGACACAACAGACACATCAAGCAGCCATGGCCTGTGCCCTTACTGTGGGGTTCAGGGTTTCACCTAATGCTGGTGTGAAAAGGTCTGTAGAACAGTTGAGTTTGGTGCTCATTAATGCTAGATACTCATCTAATGCTGGCTTGTCTTGTCATCTCAAATACAGAAGAAAATGGCACTAAGAAAGAGCTGAGAAACGAGAAGACAGAGGAATCAATGAAATTAAGTCATGTCCTGACATGATGAATGAGAACAGAGTAATTTTCTGAAGGGTGAACATAAGGAACAGAACAGAGAATCTTAAATCTGGAAGGGACCATGTACTTACTTCAACCTTTAGTTTCATATCTAAGTATCATCTGTGAACAGAGTTTAAAAACATTAGGAAATACAAGTTATAAGCTCAGAAGTAACACCCAGTTCCCATTGACCTTGCTATCCATGGAGAATTGAAATAGCCTGGAAAGTGAAACTTCCCTGATACAGAAATCGAATCATTGTAAATACTAAAACTTTTAACTTTTAGCTATTTTTATGAACATTAAAATGTCTCAACTTTTTCTTGATGGTTTTTTTTTTCTTTTTTTATATTTTTTTTAAGAAACACCAGATCTTCTCTTCTGTTCTTGATTCACTTATTATCCCAGGTGATTTGAAACTAGGATATTCTCTTGAGTAGCCGTTGTGAAAAATCCCTGGTATATTAATTTATTTGAGCGCTATATATATTTTTCATGAATAGAGAAGGAATAATGATAATGTAGATCTATAGTTCCTTGTTTAAAACCCTTGGATCCAGATTACCTTCTAAATGTAGGTATGAATTTCACACTTTAGAAAGGAACTGGAGCACATGTGGTGTCACCACAGGTTCCCCCAGTGATTCTGGCTCGACACACTATCATTTCTTCAGCAAAACGTATGAATGCCTTTCCTAAATGGGACAAAGACTACATAGAAATATTTGTCAGTATTTGCTGCCAAAAGATTTGTTTTAGTGTCATAAAAAGAACTTGATTTTCAGAGGGTTTTACACTTTTTTTTTTCCTTTTAATCCTCACCCGAAGATATTTTAGAGGATTTTAAATTTGGGAGTTGTGGATAAGAAATGATAGACCCATAGGTAACATGTATTGAAGATTTACTGTATGCCAAGGCACTGTGCTAAATGCTTTATGTATTATCTCATTAAAACCTCACAATAGCCCTGGCTAGTTTGGCTCAGCGGTTAGAGCGTCGGCCTGCGGTCCGGAGAGACCCGGGTTCAGTTCCCGCTAAGGGCACGTACTTCGGTTGCAGTTTGTCCCCGGCCCTGGTTGGTCGTGCGGGTGGCAGCCACTCGATGTGTCCCTTCACGTCGATGTTTCTCTCTCTCTCTCCTTTCCTCTCTCTCCCTCCCACTCTATCTGTACAAAAAATGGAAAAATATATCCTCGGGTGAGGATAAAAAAAAAAAACAAAACTCACAATAGCTTAACAAAGTAAATATTTCTGACTCCCATTTACAAATGGGCAAAACTGAGTTACAGAGGAGTTAAGTAACTTGCCCATAGTCAGACAGCTAACTAAGTAGTAGAGGTTGGATATGCACCAAAGCTAACATCTACTGAGTGCTAGTTATTAATCAGGTATTATTCTAAGCACTTGACATGTTCTCATTTGATCTCATACTGACTTTAAGATAGTCACTATTATTACCCCCATTTAACTGATAAGAGGCAACAGGGACGTTATGTAGTACATCTCACATTCAGTTTGATAGGCGGGATGAAACCAGAATGTGTGCTCGGCTAGTGCACTGTGTTGTCTGAGTTCACAGCAATAAAACAGCGCGCTGTGGGATTCAGCAAAATTAATTACCATGTTAAGGCCAATGTGATTTCCTCAAACATCAGCATTGATGTTACTCTCCTTATATTTTAATACATATAGTAAAGAGTTTGTAATTACACAGAATCATTTACTACATGTACCTTCACAACTGCTTGCGACTACCCCTTCTCCCATTGTCCTGCCTTATTTGTTAATAGTTCGAATGAGCACTTGTCATCATTATTAAGATGTGTCCTGGCATGTTTGGGAGAAGTCCCTTTTGAAGCCTCCCTACTCCTGCCCTAAAGAAAATCGGTTCTCTGTAAGCCATCCTTGACTTTTCACCTTGAATAGAATGCCAGGCATATGCAATATTAAAAATGTCATCTGATGTTTAAAAAAAGATGTAAATGCCAGTGTTTTTGTGGATATTCTGGAAAACTATCTCATTCTCTGAGCAGCTCTTTTGGTCACTCTATTGAGAGTAAGAAGCATGTCTCCTGACAGCCCTCACTCTATGAACTCCATCGTTCTCTAACGGAATGGGAGCTTTGTTCATCTCGGCTGAGCAAGAGGTGTTAAAGGTGATCTCAGCCTGGCCCGTGTGGCTCAGTGGATTGAGCATTGTACCATGAACTGAGAGGTTCCAGTTCCATTCCCAGTCGGGGCACAGGACCCGGTTGCGGGCTCGATCCCCAGTGTGGGGCATGCAGGAGGCAGTCAATGGATGTGTCTCTCTCACATCGATGTTTCTATCTCTCCCTCTCCCTCTAAAAAATCAATTTAAAAAAAGATGATGATCTCACATGCAAGATAGCAAAATGTAGTGGAATTCACCAGGAGTTACAAAGGCTTTATTTTAAGATCCTGGATTATTATTCCACTTGGCAATATCATTTTTCCTCATTTGTTTAATCTAGAGAAAAACTGACTAGTTATACCAGCACTGAGATGGACCACTCTAGTGAAATGCCCCAGATTCTTCTGTTTCTAGCTTTATATATCCAAGAGATGTATGTGGGCCACAGTTGGCAGAGGGGCACTGGCATTTTATATTTTGCGTTCAAGCATAGTGTTTCCTGCAGGTAGCCGTGTTGTGCTGCTCTGTGACACAGTGTGTCATACTCTTATGAATCTTTGCTGAGTTGGCAATTGCAGTGGTTCAAGTTTCGTCACCAACACAATACCTGGACTCAGTGATGCCCTCTGAAGCCACTGAAGTCAGAGCTCGGCCTGCCCTCTTGTCACACGCTGTCTTGTTGCACAGAGCGCCCAAAGCTGGGTACCTCCAGGAGACAGAAATGGCTTTGCCTTGCTGTGACTGAGGCAGCTGGTGCTGGTGTGCTTTTGCTGCAAGCTCAGTGAACCCTACAGGGACCGAATAGTTATGTCCCCCCAGTACTTGCAGACCTGTTTTTCTTTGCTCTTCAATATCGCCTTTGCTCTTTGCTTCTCATCTCATTCACCGTGGCTTCTAAACTCCAGAGCTAAAACACAACACCCCCCCCAAATTCCCAGTGTCATCACTACTTCTAAATGTTCCCATTGCTCCCACTGCACTCCCTTGTCCCTTTCTCTCTACGTTGTCTTCTAGCTCCTTCTGTTCTAGTTCATTCCCCTGCCACTTTTCCTGGCCTGAGCATGAACCACGCCCAGCATGTTGGGTGTCTACACCATCTCTGATTCTCCGATGTTTCCCTGTCTGTGCAGGCTTAAGAGCTTAATATTTGCAGCAGGAGGCATTTTCGTCTTCTTTTACTTCCAGATTCAGTGCCGTGCTGGTTGCTGAGGTGGCCTGACCTCCCCATAGGTGACACTAGGCTGATGATTGCTTTTATTTCACTTACAGTCACAGACTACAAAATCACTACAGTGGGGTGCTGGTGGGTGGTTTAGAAGTATTGTGTAGGATTTTCTTTAAATCAAAGTTTGATATAGAGATGGAGATTATAGAATCCTACATTCATTTTGTTTAATACTAGCCAGGCTGATATTGGGAATCAGTATCTACCTAAAATTAGTTCATCATATGGCAGACGGTGCAAGGCCAGAGAAATGTGCAGGGTTTTTTGTGTGGGGTTTTCTTTTCCAAAATGATAGATTTGCCACACCTGAAAAACAAATATGGTATATAAGTATAATTCAGCATATTAATTAACAGTTTAATTAGTTACATTCTCCCTCCTGGGTAACGTTGAATCATGAAGCTACTCAGACATACACGGCACAGAAATGCACCCAGAGGGTGGGCGTGTGGTCAGTGGATTGAGTGTCAACCCATGCACCAATTAAAAAAACAAACAAAAAATTATTGTATTTTAATGGATTTTTTAAAATTGATTTTAGAGAGAGAGGAATGGAGGGCAAGAGAGATAGAAATATCAATGAAAGAGAAACATCGATCAGTTGCCTCCTGCACACCCCCACTGGGGATCGAGCCCACAACCTGAGCATGTGCCCTGACCAGGAATTAAACTGGTACCTCTCAGTCCATGGGACGATGCTCAACCAACTGAGCCACATCATCGGTTGGGCTGGATTCTTTTATTTAATTGATTTTATTTGGGTGACATTGGTTGTTTTTATGGATTTTTTAAGGCAATTTTTATTTCTAGAGTAGACAGATCATTTCACTCCAATATTCAAGATTTAGCAGGACATACTTTTTTTTCCCTTAAAGAGGGACTTAATTTTACTCTGGTAATTAAAAACAAGCCACAGTATATTTCACTCAAAACACAGATTGTAGTCAAATCGGGTATTTATTGTTTAAGGAGAAAATATTAGATGGTTCAGTTAATTTGCACTGCAGTCAATACTTGTACATGCATAGCAGTAGAAAAGTTAGTCCCAGTGAGGAAGAAAGAATGAACGTGTTCAGATGAGGTCCAGCCAGTTGGCCTCAGGAATTCCAAGTACCCTGCTTTCCCCCTTGTACTCAGAGTTTACACTAGGTGGCATGCAAGGAAAGCTGAACAGGTTCAGAAACTTGGTTCTGTGGATACGCAATTCTTTGGCATCAGCCATGCTCATGGGCTCAGCTCTGGAGTCAGCTATTTGATTTGTGATTGTTTTCTTTCCTCCTCACCCCCAGGATGAAATGTCCTCTTGCTGGCACCAATAAAAGATTTCTCATTAACACAATTAAGAACACGCTCCCATCCAATAAAGAGCAAGACCATGAACAAAAAGAGGATGCTAAGGAACCTGAGAAGAGCCAGAACCAGAAAGAAGAAAGCCGGAAGAAGCACAGAGCCCACCCTTACAAGCACGGCTTCCGAGCTCGAGGCTCCGTCAGCCATTCTCCACCGAGGAAGCGGAGCAGCCAGGACAAGTATGAGAAGCGGTCAAACAAGCGATGAGGCAGCGACGACAAATACACACGACTGTCCCCAGTCACAGTGCTATTACATGTGGGAGGCTGGGATGTGCAGAGAAGGTTATTGAGGACATACCCTGAGCTGGCAGAGCAAACACCTAAGAGCAGTTTTTACAGTAGGTCCTTTGTCATTGTCGCAAGCAGGAAATGACCTAGAAACTCTTCAAATAAATTAGTACAAAGAAACTTGCTCTGAAGATGTCTTGGCAAGTTCAAGTTACTTCCTCAGTGTAGTATGCACACGCATTGTTTCTATTCTGTCTTGTTTAGGAATGGGTTCCAAAACAAATCTAGAACATAAAGGGGTGCAGAGATTGTTAGAACTAGTTCCAGTTTTCTAGATGTGCTGCAACTGTAGTCATTGCTCAGAATTTCTCAAAAAAGGAAATACTTGTAAATCCTATACGTTACCTTTTGAGGTGACAAATTTAAAATTTAGAAATCATATTTAAGAAAAGTTGTAGCTTTCCAAGGGTTGGGAATTTACCAAGAAATTCTTTGATAACTCTGCATTTGTTTTCCTTTAAGTGAACAATGTGGGAGACCCTCAAACTGGCTTTGAATTTAGTGCTCCGTCAGTGAGCAGAGACTAAATATGGGCTCTGCTGTCCCTTTTGTAGTCTCAGACTCATTCCCAAGACAGAACAGTTTTCTATACTTAATTTTTTTCTGAATATGTAAGTTTTAAGTGGTGCTTTAAAAATAATTCAAAAGTTAAAATGGATATTATTTTAATGCTGTCTTATTTAGCTAAAGACCTATGATAACCACTCTTAGGATAGTTGTTGCAAAAATCTTAATTTTAAATAAAAATGTGTTTACAATGTGTTTTTTGTTGTTGTTTTAATTATCACTGTGACTGTTTTGACATACAATTACAAACCTTCAAACCTGTATTCTTCCTTTTGTACTCAGGAAAATTTCACCAAGCACCCTGTTTCCTCGTCTACAAAAGGAAGAAGAATCTGTCTTTCTGTGCCCCTCCCCAGTTTTCCAAAGCGGCTGAGCTTATGCCTGGCTGCTCCCAGATAATCACTCTGCCACAGCCCTGCTCCCTGCTTCCTGGCAGCCAATAAAAGCCCTTTCTAAAAGCTAGAAAGGAGCACATCCGAAAAGTTTGCTTCGGAGTGTTTATAGAAAAACCAGAATAGACTGTACTGCTCCCCCCACCAAGCTGCTCTGCCACACCCTCGGTCTGCTCTGAGCTACAGGCCCAGGATGAAGAACCCAGAGACTTCTCTCCATCCACCTCTTTCACCCGAAACCCGGGGTCTCGTCCTGTCACTCACAAAAGGAATATGTGTGTTCCTTGGTTCACATGACTTTATCCAAATTTAAGTATGCATTAGCCTATATTGTATTAAGTTTGAAACATTTTATATTTAAATATTTATCAGAAATAGAGTCATGAAGATTTTTAATTTTTTCATTATAATTAAGTAAAATAAAGTTGAGTCATTTGGCTATGCACTCTGTGTTAAGAGCAAACTGGCAAGTTCATTGTTCTTTAAAAGGGGATGATTTTAATGAGCATATGTGTACACTCAAAAGTAAAGGAAGCTCGCCCTGGCCGGTTTGGCTCAGCGGTCGAGTGTTGGCCTGCGGACCAGAGAGTCCCGGGTTCGGTTCCTGCTAGGGGCACGTACCATCAAAAAAAAAAAGTAAAGGAAGCTCTTTATCCCAATCATGCTTACCTTTCTTACATATTGTGTTAAACGATGAGTGTTCTACAAATTATCTTCCCTTTAAAGCAGCTCTGTTCCACTTCTGTCTTTAAAACCTTCATCGGGGTAACCACGGTTTCCTATATATAAATGTTAAGAGCAAGTTATCTGTTCTTATTCCGTATTTATGCAATAAATGTTAGGGAAAGACTGGTCCTAAGGTATACACACCACCTGCCTCCTAGTTCTGTGATTAACATACTGGCCCGGAGGTTTGTTCAGTGTTCGCTCCACAGTGTTAACTATGTTTAGAGATCGCACAGCCCAGGATAGAAGTTAGAGAAGTTAAACCTTAGTCCTGCCTCTGCCATCAGCTGCCTGCAGGGCCTTATCTGGGTCCCTTTTCCAGTCATCTTTCTCATCCATAACTATGATATCTGGACTGAGTCTCTAATTTTTAAATAAGTAGAGACAAAAGTGCCAAATGTTTAGCCCTACATTTTAGGAACTGCTTTTCATGCTTCCTCTAGAAAGCAAACAAACTTAGACACAAATGTAACTTAGCAGAATTTGTTTTCTGTTTTACCTCATTTGAGAAATCACATTCTCTAAGAAATGTGAACAGAAAGCTGTGGTCTGTGCCACAGTCAGTCACCTGTTAGTGGCTGGTCTTTCTGAACAGCCCATGCGTGATGGGGGAGGGGCTTGGGGTGGGTAGTTTTACTTAGAGTAGGCTGAGTCTTTTTATTTTAATCCTCACCCAAGGATATTTTTCCATTTTTTGTTCAAATAGAGTGGGAGAGGGGGAAACAGACGTGAGAGAGACATTAACTGGTTGCCTCCCGCATGACCCAACCAGGGCTGGGGAGAAACCACAACCAAGGTATGTGCCCTTCACCAGAATCGAACCCGCGCCTCATTGGTCCATGAGCCGACGCTCTAACCGCTAGGGCAGAGTAGGCTGAGTCTTAAAGGACATTTCCTCTTTTCTATCCCTTTCCGGTGTCCAGTATGTCCAAGTGTGGACATGGCAGGTCCTCCGGGCGAAATTCCGGATTTCCCTGGGTTTTCCAGTAGGAGCCATGGTCAGCTGTGCTGACAACACAGGAGCCCAAATCTGTGTATCATCTGTGAAGGGGGTCAAGGACGACTGAACAGACTTCCTGCTGCTGGCGTGGGTGACACGGTTATGGCCACAGTGGAACAAGGCAACCAGAGCTCAGGAAGAAGGTGCACCTGCAGTGCTGACTCAGCAACGAAATCGTGCCAGAGAAAAGACGGCATGGTTCTTTGTTTTGAAGATATTGTGGGGGTCAGAGTAAACAATACAGGTGAGCCCTGGCCACTTGGCTCAGTGGTTGAGCATCGGCCTGCGGACCAGAGAGTCCGGGCTTCGGTTCCCTCTAGGGGCACATACCACAAAAAAAAAAAAAATACAGGTGAGCTGACAAGTGCTGCCATCGCAGGACCAGCTGCAAAGGGGTGTGCAAGTCTGTGGCCCAGGACTGCATCCAGTGCTGATGGCCTTGCATGGTTCTCCCATGCATTTGTAAAGAGAAAAAAAACACTGAAAATTATTTTCTCTTCCCACCCCACCGCCCAAAAAAGAAAAAGGATGTTTCCTCAGTCTGATTCTGGAAGATGAATTTCCCTGTGATTTTTTTGTGGGGATGGGAGGTGGCAGGAAGCAATAGATCTGCCTCAAATATACTAGGTAGAATTTATCATTCTTTCATTGATTGTTGATGTGACAGCATGGCACTTACATTTTTATATTATAATTAATAAAATATGTCACTCCTGGAGGTCATGCCATGGTCTTTGGATCGCGAGGTGCGTCGGGTGGGTAGTCAGTGCCTGTTTAGTGGACATTGCATGAGGTGAATTTCTGATCAGGAGAAGCCTCGCCACTTTCCTGAGGACGTTAAACCCACAAATAGTCTTATCACAAGGTAGCCTGTAGTGAACCTTGTGGACAATAACATTTATTGTCTATCACCTCTGGTCAAATCTTTTTAGGCCCTTTGTTCCCAACTTTATTGGTGTATATTTGTCATATAACATTGTGTTGAGTTTACAGGATAGTGGGATGATTTGATATGTTACATTGCAAAATGATTACCACAGTGAGGTAAGTTGACACATCTGTTACCTCACATTTACCATTGTGTGTGTGTGAGGCGAAAACATTTACAACAAGCCTTTACCTTTGTCCACCTCGTCATCTCACAACCCCAGGAAGCAGGTGCTAGTGCTCCCATTGTACAAATAAGGAAACTGAGGATAGGCTAAAACGTTTGCCTAAGGTCATGGAGCTTGGAAGTGACCGAAATGCTATCAGATGCCAGGACTGTCTGAATCAAAAGCCTACATTTGTCCGGCCGGCGTAGCTCAGTGGTTGAGCATCGACCCATGCACCGAGGTCGACGATTCGATTCCCGGGACACATGCCCAGGTTATGGGCCTGATCTCCAACGTGGGACATGCAGGAGGCGGCCAGTCGATGTTCTCTCTCATCGATGTTTCTATCTCTCTCTCCCTCTCACTTCCTCTCTCTCTAAGATCAATAAAGGGGGGGGGGGGGGAAATAACCTACATTCTTCCCTGTGCCTTTGGCCAAACTTGGCCCAAACCTGGCTTCCTGGGAACATAGGACTGGCATGTATCAATGGCCCCAGGGGTCCAGTTTAAGAGCCTAAAGAACTTTTATAACCAATGCATTTTATATTGGCTGAAATTTACTGGAAGCTCTGTCTAAGGAACACGTGCACTGGGCAGTGTTTCCCTGTGATCCAGTCTGCCCATCTACATCCAAGAGACAACTCTTACCACTCTTTCGTTAGATGATGAAATGGCAGCTGATGGAGGATATCTAGGAGAAACTAAACTCATGTGGAGCAAATATTTTAGGTTATTTCATATTTAACCGCTCCTTTTTCCATCCACAAGAATAGCAAGACTTGGGAGTTAAGGAGTCTTAGAGTCAAGGCCTCTTTGGCACTATGAGTGACAGCCTATGATTCAAGGAAAGTCTATTGCCTGTCTCCCTTCCCTGCCTGGGAAAGGTGTGTCAATACATCGTCCATTGAGCCCTGCCCTGTGGCTCATCCGAGTCTAGACGATGACAACGCTAGTTTGCCAAAGGGAAACTCTTGTGCTCAGTTTGGAAAGGACTGCCAAGAAGCCTGCTCAGATCCACAGGGGCACACAAAGAAGTAAGTAGGTCATTATTAAACTGGCAGAAAACATCGTAAGCAGAATTTCAAAGAATTTTAGAAGTACATAAACAATTCTGATTTGGGCAACCATGCTATAAATCTTAGGGAAAGGCCCTGGGCATATCATTAATAGTTTATTAGATGAGCGATTTCTCCCATCTATCTAGCCTTGTAATTTTCACCTTTGATTTTTATAACTTATAAAAATTTTCTACGCAGGACAGACTCCAGATACAACATATCTTGCACAAAACACCCGAGGGAGATATTCTCAACCAGATAAATGCGTGGCCTGCCCGCAGTGGGAGTCCCTTGTCCTTCCTAGTCGTTTGCCCACTGATTCCTCCCACATGCAAGATGAGCTAGCATGTATTGTCCCATCACAAGCCTTCATCTACTCCAAATTACAGACCCGTTGGTCTGATGGATGGTCTTTTGAAGTTCAGTGCTAATATACAAAGGAAAAATTGCAAGGCTGGCTTTTAATCCTGTGCCCTATGTAAAGAACAAGCCATTCTTTCTTTCACTCACTCACTAATTCAGCAACCACAGCGGTTCTCAACCTGTGGGTCACGACCCCTTTGGAGGTCGAACGACCCTTTCACAGGGGTCGCCTAAGACATAACATTAGCAAAATTACAGTTATGAAGTAGCAATGAAAATAATTTTATGGTTGGGAGTCACCACAACATGAGGAGCTGTGTCAAAGGGTCGCGGCATTAGGAAGGTTGAGCACGTATGCCAAGCACACGCTGGACCCAAACTTGAGTGATTTCACTCCTGTCCTCACAATCTTCTAGGCCGTGTCCATGTCTGCCCCATGTGAAGCTGCAGAACCTTGTGCAGCATGCTTGCTTCTGCAGATGTTTGTGGCCCTGCCTGGGGGTGTCCAGTCTTCCACATTG